TGTCTTCCCGAGGACCTGGACCTGTTGGACCACCTATAATATTTCTATCTAACCCAGCTGCCTGCAACAGTACCACTTCTAGGCTCACTGGCATGAGGAGGGAGCTATGACCAAGCACAGCACACATGGGCCTGGCAGGAAGGGGTCAGAGTAGAAGACTAGGACTGAGGCAAATGGGACGGACAGCCAACTGGATAGAATGTGTCAAAGATCATAGAACTCTGCTGCTAACAGGTTGTGGCAGAGGTTTCCCAAAAAAGATATACTTCAAACGGGAGCCAAAGTGACTCCAAGTTTAGGGCATTGTACATGGAACCAATCAGAAAGTGATATTCTCAATCCTTCATTTACAAATGGGCACACTCAATCAGAAGACATGCCTCATTTACATCTGGAAAGAAGCCTGGCAAATTTTTCTGTAGGACAGTACATTTGGTGTAAGCCCAAGTGACTTTTTGATAAGACAAATGTCCCATTACCTATTGTATGAGGCGGAGGCCAGCTCAGGTATTTTGATACTAAAGACCCCTTTGCCTTTAGATACTAAAGACCCCTTTGCCGTATATATATTCTCTGGTCTTCTATAAACCTTTTCAGCTGCCGTATAGAGTATACTTCTTTTCCACTTACAATAAATATACACACTTGGTGATTTTCTGTGGCTCTTGTCTAATTCTTTGGAACACCAAGAACCTGGAGAGAAACCCACCCACCCCGCAAAATCTGGTCATAGGATGAGAGGAGTAAGTGTAACTTTCTCTTGTTTTGCTCTTTGAACTCCATGTAGTCGGGAGTAATGGTGACAGATAATCAAGTCTAGCTTGTTTTCCATTGCTTTCCCCATTATTTTCAGTCAAACCAGTCCAACACAGATCATAAATTCTAGAAAATTTAGTATGGCCCACATCAGTGTATATGCCATTAATCCTCCTCAAAACATTCAACCCTCTCCCTACTTTAAAGACACTTAGCTCATCATTCTTGGCAATGTGTCTTTTCTGTATTTTTTTAATTAGACATTCACTGGAGTTTTATGGAAGCTAAGAATACAATTATACTTTTTGTCTATATAACGAACTAGTTAGTAACATCCTCTCAGGTTCTGTTCAGCTTTTGGGTCTCAAGCCTTTGATTAAGGGCATAAAGTTAATGCAAAGAAAGCAAGAAAAAAAGGCAAGAGAGAGTGAACAAGGAAGGAAGGAAAGAGAAAGTTAACTGGCTATACGTTATCTTACATTCTTATCTATATATTGAGCGGAAGCTCAAAGAATGAATTTTGTTGGAAGAAAAAGATATTATTATAAGTGATTGGTTTCTCAAAGAGCAAACCTTGCTAAAATATATCTCCAGGCTCTCCTGTTTTCACAAAGGTTCACTTTAACGTGCTTGACACGTTCAGGTAGAGAGCAACAGCACTGCACACAGGTTGATGGAGTTTAAGGATGTTGCGCCTGACAAAATGAAAAGAATCCGGAGCTCAGGGAGGGATCCAGAAAGGAGAGAAAGAAGGAAGTTGACATAAAATTGTTTTCTCCCACAACTATGGTAAATTCTGCTTTAGGCAAAACACATGTGAGTGGTTTTCATAAAGTCCCAGTGTTTGTGGAGTTTTGGAGCAAAAGCCTAAACTCTAAGGAGGTCTCAGCAGACCAAGTTGGGTCACCTGCTTCAAAGTGTCAGACCAGGAGACCAACAGGGATAAAAAGCAGGAAATGAGCTTTGTTCAGGGTGACCACCCTGGAAAGCACAAGGAGGTTCAAACTCTGTCTTCAAGAGGTTGACAGAAGCTTGGGGTTTTATAGAGAAGAGGAACAAAAGGACAAGGCTGAGGGTTTGCACAGTTGATAACATAGATAATCCTGGTCAAGCCATAGTCTGGGTGATGAGTATCTCAGAATTGGGTCTGGGGGACCTGGGAGGGCATCACTGCCTGAGGGGCTAATTCACTTCCCACCACAAGATGATAGCTTTTGCTCTGGAACAGCAGCCTTAGTTGGAGTTGTGCAATAATTGTTCCTATCCTAGTGTGGTCTGGGAGGCCTCTGCTTTTCCTGGAGGTGGCTACAGGTTTAGGACAAGGACTGGAGATTCTAGGCATTTCTTTAGGAGATATAGAACTTTGTTGCAATGTAGATGTTCCTGACAATCCTGCAAATTAGTTACACTTATCTTAGTGTCCTCAGTCTTTTTTTTTTCTCCCCCCATACTGGGGATTGCACTCAGGACCCTGCCCTTGCCAGGCAGGCGTTTATTCTACTGAGCTACCTCCCCAGCCCAGTGTCCTCAGTCTTGAGTAGGAAGAAAGAGTAGGTAAGTTTAGGGCTAATAAACTTAAACCAATATTCATATGTAGGACTGAATAGGGATCTGATCCAAACTTTTTTTAAAATCCAAACTTTAATACATAAACAATGAAGGCAGAGATGCCAAACTTTATCCCGCTTTTAATTACCCATTAGGCATCTGCAGGACTAGCCCCAAAATCCCTGTCACACTAACAAGAAAATAATAAAGACCAGTAATAACAAAAATAGGTATGATTTATTGAATGTTTAGTATGTCCTGGATATTTTGTCAACACAGATAGCTATATTGTTGATGTTCCAGTAGCCCAGTGAAATAGTTCTTATACTCCTTTTTAGGTGAGTAGAACCAGGCTCAGAAAGGGTAAGAAACTCATGGAAGGCCCCAGGGACAGCACCCTGCAGAGCCAAGATTTGAAAACAAAACCCTAGTCTCATTACACCAGACCATTCCACAAACCTTTCCGCACCATCCTTATAAAGATGCTGCCAGATTTTTTTTATTTGCAGAACCAGGGATTGAACTCAGGCCCTTGCACTTGCTAGGGAAGCACTTATCCTACTGAGCCATCTCCCCAGTCCCTGCTGCTGGTCTCTTAACTAAAGATCATGACAAGGACCCCCACCCCTTCCGAGGCTGCTCATCTCACAGTTTCCACTCACAAGTCTTCCGGCTGTTTTCTGGGCTACCCAAAGGAAACTAATCCTTCTTTCCTGGACCAGACTCTTCAATACTGAAGGATATGGTACTGAAGGACACCAGAATATGCTACCCCAAAATATTACTCTATGCATTTGCATTATTTTGAGCTACAGGCCATTGAAAAAAACCAGGAAACTCAGGACAGGAAAAACTATTTAAAAAGGCACAAATTGTTCTTTAGTAAAGGAAAGTTCTATTTATAAAAGCGATTTAAGTCTTTGTCTTGACATTTCTCTCTCTCTCTCTCTCTCTCTCTCTATATATATATATATACATATATATTTCCAGATATCTACTGTACAAATCTATGAATTCGAAGTTACCTTTTGATAATTATTCACCGTTTCTCATGTATAGGTGACATACACATTAATAAACATGTTTGTCTTTCTGTTGTTTATCTTCCTGTATTAGGTCTCAGTTCTAAGAACTTAGGAGGCGTCAAGAAAAAATTGCTTTCCACCTGGACAACACCACCTATGCGTTTTCAGGTAGTCGCTTCTTTTCACACTGAACATGATTTATTGGACTAATCCAACCTAAATAAAGGGAGCTTATTCTTTCGTTTTGTTTGCTTTTTACAGCTCAAGACCTGATCACCATGGAGAAATGAAGTGGTGTTCCGCAGCAGTTACTGTTTTGCTGCAGTAGGCAGTAAAAGCTTCATTGAATCTGAGATACTATATAGTTTTATGGAAAGCAGCAGTGGAAACAGGAGTGAGTCATAATACTACCTGCAGCCTTTGTAGCTCTGTAAGATTAAACCATTATTCAAAACTGTCAGGGGAGGGGCCGGGGAGATGGCTCAGTGGAATAAGTGCTTCCCTGACAAGCGTTAAATTCAATCCCTGGTTCTGCCAAAAAAACCCAGGAAGGGTGGAGCAGTCAAAGGGTGACCTTACAGGTCAGTTGAGAAGGCCCAGAGGGGCCCTTTAAACAGACCAATGACCATGCCTAGGATGACCATGCTCTGCAGAGAGCGTCGCAAATGGGGCTGCTGCTGCTCTTCTGGGGCTGCGGTTGCTGTGGTACTGGTTTTTGGGTTTTTTTGTTTTTGTTTTTGTTTTTTTTTTTACCAGAGTTTGGCAAGGGAGGGAGCCTGAAGCTCTCCACACTTGGCAGAAGCCATAGCTCTACCTGAGGTGGGTAGCTCGGCTGCAAAACACTTACTCAGCAGGCATGAGGCTGTGAGTTCACCCCAGGCGCCCCACCCCCCTGGTAAGCGTGGGACTTGCTCCACGGAGGGACGTTTCAAGGACTCGGTCCCAGCCGGACACCAAGGGCACCTGCAAGCGGAGGGCGGCCCTGTCCTAAAATCTGTGGGTTGCTGAGGCGGGCAGGTAGTGAAGGCGAAGAGGAAAAAACAAAACAAAACAAAACAAAACAAAAAACCATTTAAAAAGGATAAAATGGGCCGGGAAAATGGCTCAGTAGAATAAGCGCTTGCCTAGCAAGCGCAAGGGCCTGAGTTCAATCCGCCAAGATTAGAAAAAAGAGGCGTCAAAATGTATCAAGTACAGGTTCAAATTCCCTACGAAGAACACGATCATTAGCTATGCCTAAAAGGTAATACACATCACCATAAAAACAGAAAGAAGGAAGATGGGCTCCATTACAGAAGGGCATGGGAAGGGGGCGCACCAGGCCACCGCTGGGTCAAGCCCAGCCCGGACGCCGACGGCCCTTCCCACAGCTGGAGCGGCACTTCCGCTGCGTGCCCCTCCTGCGCTGGGCGGAGCTCCGCCGCGCGCGCCCTCTCGGCCTCCGTCCGTCGCCCGGCTCCACCCAGGGGCGGGGCGGTCAGGGGCGGGGCGGGCTCTGGCGAGGGGCGGGGC